GTCACTATTTTGCACGGCCAGGCCCATGTCACTATTTCGCCCACCGTGGAGCCACAGCTCCGACCAGGCGGACATCACTATTTCGCCCAACTAGGCCGACGTGACTATTTCACCCGGCCAGACCGATGTCACTATTTCGCCCAGCCATACCGACGTCACTATTTTGCCCGGCCAGGCCGACATCACTATTTCACCTGGCCAAGCCGACGTCACTATTTCGGCCGCCGTGGAGCCACAGCTCTGACCAGGTTGACGTAACTATTTCACCCGGTTAGGCCGACGTCACTATTTCGCCCGCCGTGGAACCACAACTCTGACCAGGCTGACATCATTATTATGCCCGGCTAGGCCGACGTCACTATTTCGCCCGGCCAGGCTGACGTTACTATATTGCCCGGCCAGGCCGACATCACTATTTTACCCGGCATTGAGCCACAGCTCCGGCCATGCCGACGTCACCATTTCGCCAGCCGTGGAGCCACAACTCCGACCAGGTTGACATCACTATTCGCCCGCCGTGGAGCCACAACTCCGACCACGCAGACAACACTATTTCGCTCGGCTAGACTAACGTCACCATTTCGCCAGCCGTGGAGCAACAGCTCCGACCAGGCTAACATCAATATTTCGCACGATTTGGTCAACGCCACTATTTTACTCAACTTGGCCGACGTCACTATTTCACCTGGCCAGGCCGACGTCACTATTTCGCGTGGTCAGGCTTACGTCACTATTTCGCGTGGCCAGGCTGACGTCACTATTTCGCCCGGCCAGGCCGACGTCACAATTTCGCTCGTCCAGGCCGACGTTACTATTTAGCCCGGCCAGGCAGACGTCACTATTTCGCCCGCCCAGGCCGACGTCACTATTTCGCCCGGCCAAGCCGAAGTCATTATTTCGCCCGGACTGACCGACGTCACTATTTCACCTGGCCAGGCCGACGTCACTATTTCCCCCAGCCAGGCCGACGTCACTATTTCGCCCGGCCAGGCCGACATTACTATTTCGCCCGGGCCAGGCCGACGTCACTATTTCGCCCGACCGACGTCACTATTTCGCCCGACCAGGCCGACGTCACTATTTCCCCTAGCCAGGCCGACGTCACTATTTCGCCCGACCAGGCCGACGTCACTATTTCGCCCGGCCAGACCAACGTCACTATATCGCCCAGCTAGGCCGACGTCACTATTTAGCCCGCCTAGGCCGACGTCATTATTTTGCCCGCCCAGGCCGACGTCACTATTTCGCCCGACCAAGCCGAAGTCACTATTTCGTCCGGCCTTACCGACGTCACTATTTCACCTGGCCAGGCCGATGTCACTATTTCCCCCGGCCAGGCTGACGTCACTATTTTGCCTGGCCAGGCCGACATTACTATTTTGCCCGGGCCAGGCCGACGTCACTATTTCGCCCGGCCAGGCTGACATCACTATTTCCCCTAGCCAGGCCGACGTCACTATTTCGCCCGGGCCAGGTCGACATCACTATTTCGCCCGGGCCAGGCCGACGTCACTATTTCGCCCGCCCAGGCCGACGCCACTATATCGCACGGCCAGACCGACGTCACTATATCGCACAGCTAGGCCGACATCACTATTTTGCTCGGTCAGGCCGACGTCACTATTTCGCCCGGCCAGGCCGACGTCACTATTTCCCCCGACCATGCCGACGTCACTATTTCGCCTGGCCAGGCCGACGTCACTATTTCGCCCAGGCCAGGCCGACGTCACTATTTCGCCCGTCCAGGCCGACGTCACTATTTCGCCCGCCCAGGCCAACGTCACTATTTCGCCCGCCCAGGCCGACGTCACTATTTCGCCCGCCCAGGCCGACGTCACTATATCGCACGGCCATACCGACGTCACTATATTGCACAGCCATGCCGACGTCACTATTTCGCCCGGCCAGGCTGACGTCACTATTTCGCCCGGCCAGGCCGACGTCACTATTTTGCCCGGGCCAGGCCGACGTCACTATTTCGACTAGGCCAGGCCGACGTCACTATTTCGCCCAGCCAGGCCGACGATACTATTTTGCCCGGGCCAGGCCGACATCACTATTTTGCCTCGCCAGGCCGACGTCACTATTTTGCCTAGCCAGACCGACGTCACTATTTCGCCCAGCCAGGCCGATGTCACTATTTCGCCCGGCCTGGTCGACATCACTATTTCGCCCGGCCAGGCGGACGTTACTATTTCGCCCGTCCAGACCGACATCACTATATCGCACAGCCAGGTCGATGTCACTATTTCGCCCGACCAGGCTGACGTCACTATTTCGCCCGGCCAGGCCGACGTCACTATTTCGCCTGGCCAGGCCGACATCACTATTTTGCACGTCCAGGCCCATGTCACTATTTCGCCCACCGTGGAGCCACAGCTCCGACCAGGCGGACATCACTATTTCGCCCAACTAGGCCGACGTGACTATTTTGCCTGGCCAGGCCGATGTCACTATTTTGCCCAGCCATGCCGATGTCACTATTTCCCCCGGGTAGGCAGATGTCACTATTTCGCCCGGCCAGGCCGACGTCACTATTTCGCACGGCCAGGCTGACGTCACTATAGTGCCCGGCCAGGCCGACATCACTATTTCGCCTGGCCAGGCCGACGTCACTATTTCGGCCGCCGTGGAGCCACAGCTCCGACTAGGTTGACGTAACTATTTCGCCCGGTTAGGCTGACGTCACTATTTCGCCCGCCGTGGAACCACAGCTCTGACCAGGCTGACATCATTATTTTGCCCAGCTAGGCCGACGTCACTATTTCGCCCGGTCAGGCCGATGTCACTATTTTGCCCGGCCAGGCTGACGTTACTATATTGCCCGGCCAGGCCGACATCACTATTTTACCCGACATTGAGCCACAACTCCGGCCATGCCGACGTCACCATTTCGCCAGCCATGGAGCCACAACTCTGACCAGGTTGACATCACTATTCGCCCGCCGTGGAGCCACAACTCCGACCAGGCAGACAACACTATTTCACTCAGCTAG